TGGGCTAGGTGTCTTTTTATCTGCAAATTATTGAATATGTATGAAACATTAAGAAGCAGCAAATACAAGAGTCTGTTCCACAGTTACTCAGTCTCCATCAGACCTGAACAAAACTAAGACGTCTGCAGTTGTACGCAGGTGCTCTGTTATGAATTTTAAACAATATGAATTAAATATATAAATCAGTGAAGGGTGAGAAAAAAAATCATTTTGTTTGCACGTCATTATTTGCCTAAGGAACTGTGAGCGCACACTGTTAGTCGGATAAATTAAGCAATCAATCACTGTGCATTATCCATTTTGGCTCCTTTTAAATGTGAGAACCTTTTTCCATCCGCTTCCCAAATAGCACTGTTCCTTACCTCTCAATTTTTTGGATTCTGTGCCAGAAATTGTTAAACACACAGAGTTTAGCCTATGTGTAGTATTTGGACGCTTAACCCACACTAAAAAAATGTCTGAATGTAATGCTTTTTTTTTTTAAATAGAGCACAAATACTTGTTTTTAAATTATATAAACAAGATACACTACTGTTTAATTCAGAAGTCTCTTGTGTTCACTTAGGCTGCATTTATTTGATTTAAAATGCAGTAAAGCTATAATATTGTGAAATATTATTACAGTTTAAAATAAATGGTTTCTATAGACCAATTCAATGTTTGCAAACAGTGATGACGTTTTTGTGGCCGGAGTCTATCTGGTGGCAGAAAATGATGATTTTCAAGTAGCATTCTATGGAGCCACGGAATAAAAGAATAAAAAAAGAGATAAATTTGAGTTTATATTTCAAAATTCTGACTTTATTCTCGCAATTACGAGATTATATCTCATCATTCTCTCTGTTCCCCTTGGCTCAGAATATGAGTTATGAGGTTTTTTTCCCTCAGAACTGACAAACTTGAGTCAAAAAGTCCGAACTAGGAGAAATCATCTTTTGTCAGAAAAAAAGTTAGAATTGTGAGATAAAATAAATAAATGTTATATGAAATGTTAATAGTAATAGGTTTAAATATGTCATGCTGTAACTGTAGGGCTAATACAATGCATCCCCTATGAACAGCATATGTGAATATTATGTAGACCTATTGTTTAAATCAAATTTATGCTTTAAAAGTAGAGTAATCATAGCTGTTTTCATCCATAGTATGTCCGTTTGAACGTCTGCGTTTAGCTTCAAATGGCATCTTTGACGACAGTATTCTCTAAAAATTATTTGCATTCCGATTCTGGCATCAAAAGGCACAAAAATATTTTTTTCTCTTATTCCATGGATTTGACCCATTTGCCTCCACTTGTTACCAGTGTTTTTCTGCCACCACTATGCGCGTGCAGCTGCAAGTGACGTAAATGTGACGTCTACTCGACGAATTGGTCTATTTGAATATATTTTAAAATGTCATTTATTCCTGTGATGACAAAACTGAACCATCAGCAGTGATTACTTCAGTCTTCTGTGTCGCACGAGCCATTCTAATTGATTTGAGTGCTCAGGAAACAGTTTTATTAGAATCAATGTAGAAAACAATTAATATTACACTATACAACTTATTTTTACGGAAACTGTGCTGCACTTTTTCTGTCTGCTCCTCAAATTTGCCCTAGCACTATTACTCACCCCTCCGTAATTTCTTCTGTTCTTCTGTGCCAGAATTTGTTAAATGTGATTATAGGGAGAGTTTTATGAGCTGTTCATCCAGGTGTAAATCTGCCAAGGCCATTGGAGAGCGCACGCTCTTTCTTGGGCCCTGCGGCCGTTGGAAACGAACGCACTAGCACAGCACGCCGACTTCATCAGTACTGCACAGCGCAGCAGAAATCTGCCTCGGTCCGCCCTGATTTACTACCCTCTTGTTCAGTCTCACAACGTGGTGAAGCAATTTGCAGGGTAATTCTGACAAATTCCTGGGTACCGAAAGTTGCGTAGAAAGCTAATTTGAAAGCCAAAGTCTATTTAGCTTCTAGCACGCTTCGAAAGAAAAATAAAAAATAAATATAAGAAGCCATTCATGAGAGAGACATTTATAAATGTGTGGCATTATGAACAATGACACACACAAAACAGATTACGGCCCTACGCCACCTTGACCTTTCAGGGATGGCTAGTACTAACCTTTAAGCAGCGTGCTAGTGGGCGACAGATGCTTTAGGTAGGTGCTGGTTTTGGACGAGACTGCGCACTGCCGCATTGATCTCCCAGAGTGCTCTGGTGACCCCGTCTGATTGGCTCTGCGGGATTCTATGATGCATTCTAATCACAGCACTATTATTGCTTTTGTGTGCTGCATATCGAAGAGGTCGTGGGAGTCACATTAGTCCTTCTGCTGGTTCAGCAGAACTGTCGTTCACTAAGGCGCATAGGTTGTTAGACTTGAGAATTATAGTTGTAAGGCACAGTAATGGCTGCTCTACATTTGAGAGGTGAACAACACATTGTGGTTGGGAAGTATTTCAATTTCCTTGTCGCCGTAATGTCAGCGCTACCTTTCAGTGTGTTTGTGTGTGTAGAGCAGCCTGTGTGAAGTATTTGGATGCTTAAGCCACTCTTCAAAATGTCTGATTGCTAATGCATTAGATAAAATGTTAATCCAAGTGTATTTATGTGAAATAAATTGAGCACGAACACTATTTTAAATCATGAAACAAGATACACAACTGTTAAAAAGTTCATAAGTCTCTTATGCTCGCCAAGGCTGCATTTATTTGATCCAAAATACAGTAATTACAGATTTCTATTTTAATATAGCCTATTTTAGAATGTAATTTAATCCTGTGATGGCAAAGCTGTGATGTCACACGAACGATCCTTAAGAAATCCTTCTAATATCTAAACATTTCTTATTATTTTCAATGTTAAAAAAAAACATTGTGCTGCTTAATATTTTTGTTGAATCCATGATACATTTTTATAGAAATCTTTTGTAATATAAAGGAAATGACACCTCTTTTAGTGCTAAATAATAGTGTTAAAGTGGTTCTATTATGCTCTTTTACAAAGTCTTGATTTTGTTTTGGGGGTGTACTAGAAGAGACTCTCATACTAGGTTGTTCGAAAAACACATTATTTTTCAAATATTTTACATTATTACAACACCTCTCTCCCCAGTTTGGCATGAACGGCTCAAATAGTTCCTGTATCAAATGAAAGCCCGCCTTCTGAAATGTGCTGTGATTGGTTAGCTGGGCCAGTGTGTGTTGTGATTGGCAGCACTCGGCGCCTGGTCGGGAAATGTCATGCCCCTTACCATAGCCGCCTGCGAGCTTCAGTGTAAATATTGCATCAAAATCAAACCCGGATGACTGTAACCACTCTGAAGTGGACTTTGAACTTTATAACTTTGCAGATCTTTTTTTATGCTCAAACGGCAACATTACAAACTAAAAAGTTGAAAAATTTAAAAAGCATAATAGGACCCCTTTACCTTCTTTAATAATAAAACGTAGCCACCACTGATTTGAAATGCATTTTTAAATGTGTAACTTGTTTATTTTATTTAGCTTTTAATCAGACAATCTCTTCCTCTTCGCAGGTAAATTTGGTTCTGGATGACGGCCGTTCTCTGGGTCTCATGATCCGCGGAGGGGCTGAATACTCTCTGGGTATTTACATCACAGGTGTGGACAGAGGCTCTGCAGCAGAGTGTGGAGGACTAAAGGTACAATTTATGCCTATTTTACCCACATCCCTTCATTTTACATCTACTGATGAGATGCGCATGAAAATCGCATTCGATTTTTTGCACAGCCCTACGTGACCTCTAACTGTCCCACAGTTGAGAATACTTCACACTCCTTAGTCTGTCTTTCTCTCTCATTTCTTGGATTAATTGTTCCACAGCTCTTTGGCATGTTAATTTTGATTTTCTCTTTCCAAATATTTAAGGTTTTCTTTATTGCATTCAGTCTTTTGTATCAGGTTTTGCCTACACTGTGAGCAGCAGCCAATGTGGTCTGTGAGGAAAACAGCTTAGTAAACAGACTTCATAATGTCTTCATGAAAATGCAAAAAGGTTTTTGTGTTGGTTGGGTGAGGTTAGGGCTTAGAATATCTAATAATCATTATCTCAATCTATGAAAAAGTCCATGCAAAGTATCTACCAAAATACACTGTTCTTTGCCCACTGTCTAACAGGCATCCCACAAATCTGCTGATTTGTTGACTGATAAAACATGTTTGTATATTCTGTCCAAAGAGTCCAGCTGGTTTTACCTCTGCCCGCTTTGATTTTAGCGCTTCCCTCAAGTGTGTTTGTGCATGAAAGAAGGAGAAAGAAATATTGGAGTCCACTGTGAAGTGCCTGTGATTTTTCCTCTAGCTATTCTTCTGTTGAATAATATGCCCAGGCATCCTGCGTTTTTTCCATTGTTTGTTTTTTTTGCCACAATTTGAGGTGAATATAATTATTATGTGGTGTCAGGGAAAGTTTTAAGCTCTTTTCAAGCTGGCAGTTCGCTTTGTGCCCAGCCTTTAGATTCATGATGGGATTGAGAGGAGATGGCAGTTTAAAAGGAAGGCGATCCAGATACACTCATGGAGCGAGAGAGAGAGTTGGAGAGAGTGCTGGATGTTTTCCATATGTCTGTTCAGAAGAAAGATGTGAGATGGATTTCTGGGCAGTGGTTTGGCAGGAAGCTGTGTTTACAATGCTTCATTGCTGCTGTGGGAATCCACAAACATGAAAGCAGATTCACATGCATTTATCATGGCACATGTGCTGTCTGAAATATAACATATACTGTACATTAACCTTTAGAAGTTTGGGGTCAGTATTTTATTTTGAAATAAATTTAATACTTTTATGTATCTGACACATTTTGGTCAATTGTTGCAGAAAAGACATTTACTGTGTAATGTTACAAAATATTTCATTCTAAAATAAATGCTGTCCTTTTGAGCTTTCTATTGATCAAATAATCCTGAAATTGATCGCAAAAACAAGTTTCATGACTTTAAATGATGCAAAACACAATTTCATGGCTTGTAAATTCACCCACAATTGACAGATGTGATAAAAAGTTAATTTTGGACACAAAGCTATCCATCTGTTCCATTATGTAATTGTGGAAATGTCTGGGCTCGCAGTTAGCCTAAAACAGCACGGAAAAGTGAGGGAATATGGATAGATGAGCAGTTACTCTTCATTCCCATCATTCCAGTGTCACCTGAGCTTCTTGATCTGATGGAGTGGGTGTTCGAGGTCTGGAACTTCTGCTCTCACTGACTTTTTCTTTCCAACCATCTGCTCTCTGCTGGAGAGATACTCCCGTCTGTCAACACACGGAAAGATGGTTGTGCAGTGAGCCGATAAGGTTTGGATGGAAGTGGAGAGAGGATCTACTGTATATGACTGAGTGCACACTGGCTAATGAACTCCAGTGGAAAGCAGCTGTACCTTGTTGATAAGGTATAGTAGTGATTGTGTAAGTCCACAATGTTTTTCAGCCAGGAAACGATATCTCCTTTCTTCCTCTTTGAGAATTTCATGCTGGCTCTGCCTCAGGTACTGCATGTACTCACTGCCCTCCTGCATCCACACAAACACATGCACTGAGACACAGGCTCTGTTCCAAAACATAGTGAGCTTCACTGTCCTCACTCACAGTGGCAGTTGCCACATTGCGCAAAAAGTTGAAGTCGGCTTTGTCATATTGCCAAAGGTAGTTTTTGCCTATGTTGCTTCAAATTGTCAACTGTCACTGAAAATCAATGACCTGCAGTCATTTTGTCATAACAAGCTGTAGGTGTGAGCAACCCTTAAGACAATTTTGTACACAACATACAGAAAATATATTGTTTTGTTTACACCTGAAATTTTTTCAGTGAAAATTTTAAGACTGTGATTTCTGGCGACTACTAATAAGGTGCAAAAGAGCAGTGGCGAAATGTGACTACAACCAATGGAAAAGTAGGCAGCAAAGATAATGTGATCCGCCTCTTGATAAGGATGCATACTACAGTTGAATTAGCAACTACAATACAATGACACAGTGGCCTTTAGTGATGTAATCCCTGTCAGAGCGAACACATCTGAGGACATTCCATTACTGTTAAGTGCAATACTTGGGGAAAACTTTGTAGACAAAGGGAACATAAAACTGATGACTTGGGTGACTTATCTATAAACCAAAATAACATCAACCCACAAATATGCATGTATGAACACTTATGAACTTACCAGTGAGTCTCTGAACACACCACGTCTCAGCTGTCGCTCCAGTGTTGCAGCCTGATTTCTCACTTCCAATTCATAAATTCTACGGCTGCCCTACACATATACAGAAAATATATCAGCTCATACACATATATGCACGTCTCAATACATAACACGTGGTTCCATACTCACTTCAATGTATTCCTCATCCAGCTTCACGTTCTTGTCCATGGCCTGCAGAACCTCTATGTGAAACCAGCGGAACTGGAACAAGACCAGCAATGAAGACGGTTTATGAATCCAATCAGATGGAGAGACTTGAAGAAAAAACTGTTTACTTACCAGAAAAAAAAACATTTAGTTAGAAAAGACAGAAAAAGAATTATTTACCACACCCTCCACTTCAACAGTGAGCTTCCGCTGGGTCTCTGATATCTGAATCAACACGTCACCTGGGAAACCAACAAATACATTAATTAAATAATCGATCATGAATACATATTTAATAAGTGCAGAAATGGAAGAGTGGGTTTTTGTAAACGGTGTTAATATCATGGGGATCGATCGCCAGCTTTTGTGGTTTAATGCAGTAATGCAGTCGAACCGTAACAAACTAAGAGACCAGAAATAAGCAACTGAATTTAATGATCATCTAGCATTAGTTCACCATTTCACCATTAAAAGTCATCATTTGCTCACCTTTTTGTTGTTCCAAACCAGTATGACTTTCTTTCTGCTGAAAAACACAAAATAAGATATTTTGAAGAATGTTTTAATTATTTTTGTCCATATAATGAATGTCAATGGGGTCCAAAAAAAATCTTTTTTGGACCCCATTAACTTTCAACGTATGGACAACATTTGTTTCAATGTACGAAACATTTCTCAAAAATATCTTCTTGTGTGTTCCTCAGAATAAAGAAAGTCATACAGGTTTGGAACAACATGAGGGTGAGCAAATTATGACAGAAGTTTCATTATTAATAACTTTTACTAAAGAAATATATTAAATATTACAGTGATTCAATTGAACTGGTAATAAGTCTTGTAAATTAATTAACTAATCATTCTCATAATTATGCATATCTATAATTAGTTATACCTAATTATATTAATTCTGGAAAGTTTTAAAAAGAAAAGTCTTAACATTTATCATGTAGCTTGTCCAAAAAAAAAAAAAACATTATCTTTTCATCTTTTATTAACATTATTATATGTGATGAGTGTAATGTGCTGAGGTGAATCAATTAAAGGGGTGAAAGAATGAGACCATGCATCAATAATTTAAGTCTCAATGCTCACATGGACACCTGATCTCTAACACACACACA